ATGCCTTTTATTGAATAGATTTTTTGCCTTTAGGTTGTATTTCTCCTTTTTTATTATATTCTATGAGTTCTTAAGTCTGGTTATGTTTCGGTTTCAGACCATGTGATTTGAGCCCTGTAAGCTATGATTGTATTCCTCTTCCTCCTCCTCCTCTTCCTCCTCCTCCTTTTGGTTATTTTCTAAGTGCTTTATTTTACAAGTCTTTTTCTCTATCTTTGATAGTCTTTTTCTGCTTAATTTTATCTTCTGGCACTATCTTCTATGGTTTTTACTTGATTTATTGATTTTTTATTTCTGTAATTTTGTTTTTTCCCAACACTTCCATTTCCTAGCTGACAGATTTCTGACTTTTTTGTGTACCACTTGAGTTGAAAACTTTATCTGTTTATTTGAATTGACTTTGATCTTATTTAAATTGTCTTTGATGTTTTACTTTTTAAGAAGTAGGCTTTTGAATTCTTTATCTGATATTTCAGGCACATCATTGTCTCTGGATTTGTTTATTGATTGTTGTGAGGTGTTAGATGCATGTTATTTCCCTGCTTCGATACATTTCTGTGTTATCATTCCTGCATCATTCAGAATGAATTTCTCTTTTAATTCTGCTTACATGAGAGATTGCTGACTAACTGTAGCAATGAGGTCTAAAATTAAGCAAAACTCAAGTATTTAAATGAATTAAGAAACAAGTTGATACCTCAAGCACTGCTTCTTTCCCAATATGATTGTTAAAGAATAGATTTTTATTTTTACATGATAAACTTTGAGCTTAAGGGTTAGAATTAATTCAAAATATTAGGCAATGTAATGGATAATGTGAAAAAGGAAACACCTGGAAGTGATGTAAAAAGCATAAGAAATAATAGTGTGAGAAAGAACTGGAATATTGTTGCTGGGAAATGCAGAATGTATTGGAAGTAGAATCAAAAGAGAAAAGAAAAGTAATAAATAAATTAGCAGAAATAAAACCACATAGAACTCATTAGCCAAAAATGAACAAATCAAAACAAAGAAAAATCAATCTATCTTTCTGAAAATAGACGTAAATAGCTAGCTGTTCATTGTCTATTTGTTTTATGTTCTCCTATCTTTGCTTCTCTGAAGATAGTCAGTTTTGATATTGCCTTAAATAGCTCCCTGAATGAGTGTATGTGGGGAGATCTCTTATGAATATAGACTTCTGTAATTCTATAGTTCTGTATTACTTCTCGTCCCTGGATTATCAAGGTACAATCTGGATGCTATCATAATTGATTATGTTTCTGGACCAGGGCAGGTGGAATGAATTGGAAAAGGTTCTACCAAGAACTTCCTAGGGGCTGGATTTCTCTGTCTGGATTCTGATAAAGTTTGGGAGTTTCGTGGAGTATTCTTCCACATTCCTTACTAGAAAAAAATATAACCATGTGGATTTTAGTTCTTTATTCTCATCAACAGATATATCATCCACCTCTCCTATGCACAAAAATTAGACATTTCAGAGTTGTTTTGCCATAGATCAAGTAGATGTGATAGATATTTAAGAATACTTTAGTTATACTTCCTTTGACAAGTGAAAAATGCACATTCTTTTTAACACCTCACTGGATATCCTCCAAAAGTAATCACATTCTATGTCATAAGGAAATTGTAAATACAAAAATTAAATATCATGTTTTTCTTGTCTCATCAGGTCGAAATGGAATAAAACTAGAAATCAATCATAAGGTAAACTACAGAAAATATATAATCTCATAAAGGATAGACACTGCTTTAAAGTATGAATAGATCACAGAAGCAATTAGGGGAAATTTAAATCCTTCTGAGAACAAATTAAAGTGCCACCTATCCAAATCTGTGAGATATATGAAAAGCAGTTCTAAAAGAGAAGTTCCAGCAAAGACTGACTTCATTAAAAAAAATCAGAGAGACCAAATAAATTATCTAACATTGCACCTCTCAAAAGAAGACCAATAAATATATGGATAAAGGTTTAACATTTTTAACCATGAAGGAAATGCAAATTCAAACTCCTGTAATTCCATTTGCCCCAGTCAGAATACCAATCATCAACAAAACAAACAACATCTAACATTGGTGAAGATTCATAATTAAAGGAACCCCAAGATAGGGACACAGTGATTTTTTCTTGCTTGCTAATATTCCTAATGTATTTATAATGTACCATGTGATTTTTTTGTTTCTTCGTATGTTCCTCCCCCATGGCATAACCCCTGTATTTGATGTCAGTGCCCTGCATCTTGTATATACACTTGGGAGGTGAAAAAACAAAATGCTTAAATAGGGATACAGGTTGACCCATTGTAACAATGAGATGTACAACACACTATATTGAAAAACGAGCTTTACAATTTAGATGAAGGGGGGGGGAGGGTGGCGGGGGGAGGGGGGAAGAGGAGTGTAGTTGTGGAGGTAGGAGGGAAGGGAGGGTAGGGTAAAAATAAAGGAGGAGGTAACAATGCTTGATAGGAAATATACTCATGACCTTGCTCATGTAACTATAACCCCTCTGTATAGTATTTTTACAATAAAAACAGTATTTTAAAAATAAAAAATAATAAAAGAGAAACCCTCATAAATTATTGTGAGGATTTAAAATAGTGTAGCCACTATGGAAATAGCTTAGAGTTTCCCTCAAAATTCTATAACTAGAACTACAGTGTGGTCTTGCCATACTACTCCTGGACATAGATTCAAAGGAATATTAAGGCAGCATATAATAGGGATGCCTTCATAGCCATGCTTTTATAATAGCAGCATTATTCACAAGAGACAAACTGTGGAATTAATCTGTCTATCAGCCAGTGAATAGATGAAGAAAATGTGTTATACATACACAATGAAATATTATTCAGGCAAAATGAAGGTGCCAGTGGCTCACGTCTGTAATCCTTGCTACCCAGGAGTTTGACATCTGAGGATTGTGGTTCAAAGTCAGCTGGGGCCAAAAAGTCCCCCTGAAAATCTTATCTCCAATTAACCACTCAAAAAAACTGGAAATGGTACCATTGCTTAAAGTGATAGAGCACTAGCATTGAGCAAAAGAGTTCAAGAACAGCGTCCAGGCCCCATGTTTAAGTCCCACAACTAACTTTTTAAAAAAGTTTTTTAAATTTTTAAAAAAGGAATGAAATTGGAATGGGAATGTGGCTTAGTGGTAGAGTGCTTGCCTAGAATGCGTGACGCTCTGGGTTTGATTCCTCAGTACTACATACACAGAAAAAGCCAAGAGGTTGTGCTGTGGCTCACATGGTAGGATGTTAGCCTTGACCAAAAGAAGCTCAGGGACAGTTTAAGTTTAAGCGCCAAAACTGGCAAAAAAAAAAAAAGGAATGAAATTATGTCATTTTCAGGGAAATGGATGAAACTGTGAATCATCATTGTCAATGAAATAAGCTAGACTGAGAAAAATAATCTAGATCTAATTAAACAAAGGACATGATTGGAAAATAGGAGGGACCACTAAGAGTAGATACCAGTGGAGAGTGGGTGAAAGAAGATCTCAAAAGGGAGAGGACATGAAAAGAGAATATCAAAAGGGATGAATATGAATGCAGTATTTCATAAAATGTATTGAAAATAGAATTATAGCTCTTGTTATAACATTTTTTGAAAAGATGGGAAGAGGATACAAGAAAGAATTATAGAGGAGTAATTTGATCAAAGTTTAATGTATGAATTTATGGAAATATTAGAGTCCATCCCATCTGTACAGTTAATATACACCAATGAAAATTATATTTACATGTATAGAATATGAAAAAGCTAATTATTTACCATGATAAAGACTTACTGTAAATATGTACTTAAACAATATGTTGTAGGTAGACATGTAAAACAATAAATCTTTCTTTGTAGTAACTTTGTCATATCTGTCACAGTACATGTATCTGTTTTGTTTGTTATGTAAAATTTCACCATTAATAATTTAGCAATACCAGCATGGACATTACAGATATTGTTAATTTTACTTGTATTTTTAGTCACATTAATTTCTTAGTATACATAGAAATTATTCTTGATTTTAAATATGGGAAACTGATACCCATAACTCTGTTTACATAAATTAATTTTCATGACAAAAAGTGGGTTCTGCTTCTTAGAGGATACAAAAAGGATTTTGCAGTAAGGGAGGGAGAAAATGTGAAAATGCAATTAGAGTATTCACATAGCAACACATATGTTGCTATGTGTCTTGTAGGCAGAAATGGGAGGGGAAAACTAGGGGAAACAGAAGGAAGGAATGACATTGTCCAAAGAAGAAATGTATGCATTGACTGAATTGTGAAATGGTAACCCCTCTGTACAATACCTTAATAACAATAAATTATATATTTTAAAAACTGCATAAACAAGATTATTTTTTGGATTATGCTTAAATTTTTATGTGAAATATTTTACTAAATTTTCCTGACATTTTGGAAGAGAAAAGGATCAACAACTTCCTTATATGTACTCCAGGAACAGTATAGTCTAGTGGATAATATTGCACAGTTTAGAACTGAGCTACATACACTTACATTTCAGATCTGCCTTGTACTATCCCTTGCACTTAAACTTTTATCAGCTTAAACTTTCTGTGTTAAAACACATTATATGTAAGACTATCAAATAATACCTAGTGACTTTGGGTGTGATAGTAATCTTAGCATTAAGGAAGATGAGGTAAAACAATGGAGAAATTGAGGCTGGACTTGGTTGTATAGTAAGAGCCTATCTTAAGAAAGTATTGGATAGCTATGAGATATGTTCTGTGTAATAGGGTAATAAAAATTAGCTCAACACTATTTCTATCATATTATTTTTTTTCTTAATTTGAATTTGGGACTATTTTTAAAACTCAAGTTATTTCTATTTTGTTCCTTTGTTTCTGGGTAAGTAAAAAGATAATGTGGTTCTCATATATACCCTTTACAAGATATAGAAGAGGCAGTATTTCTCTGATTTTAGTTTGAATTTTATACTACTTAATTCTTAATATACCTTTTCCTGTTTTTCAGATTAAACAAAATTATTAAAAATTGGACAACAAATACATGAATATATTGTAACTGTGTAATGGAGTCCCCAGGGGCAAATAATATGTTTATAAACAAAGTATGGGTTCAATGTGAGAATGAAAGTTGTTTGAAGTGGAGATTGTTGTCAAATGAGGATGCAATCAAAGTTAATCAAAATGAACCATGGTACTGCTACATGAACAATGATTCAAGATACAATAAGTGCTCAATTTCTGAAGAAGACTTTCCTGAAGAGTCTGAACTTCATAAAAATGGATATAAAATTGTCTATTCACAGCTCCCTCTGGGCAGCCTGGTTTTGGTAAAATTACAGAACTGGCCAAGGTAAGGTTTGTGTTATTTTGGGTTAAACTATTGAGGTGTAGTCTTACTAGTTTTATGCATTCTCAGAATCTTTTTAAGGATGAATTTATTTGTTTATAATTTCACTTTCAAATCTTTATTTCTAATCCCTTATTTTTAATTTTTTCTACCTCTAATTTATATTACTTTTTTCATCATGTTGACTATCATTTCTATTTCTCTTATCTCAACTTGAGCTCTAAGGGCCAGTTTTTATTTCTTTTAAAACTTTGTGTCTGTGGTGAACTTTCATATTTTTGCAAGGAATATTAATCATTTTTACCATAATACATTTATATCAGATTTTTCTGTGGTCTTGTCTTCCTATGTACTTTTACATTAAAATCTTAGCATTCTTTGAGAAAGGAAGAGAAAGTTAGACTTTTTTTCAGTCCATTTCTCTTTGCTATTCATATAGATCATTCAGGTTGTTGTACCTTAACTTCACTTATGCTTTCCTCTGCCATATTTATTCTACCATTGAAATTACCTCATAAGCTTTTTATTGTATTTTTAGTTATAAAATATTCATCCATATCTTCTACTTATTTTCCATACTTTGTGTTCATTTTGGATATTATTTAAATCAGTTTAGTACTCTGCTTTTACTACTACATCAGAGGGATTAAAAACTCTCTTTATTAAGGCCAGATGGGAGTGGAAGTCCAGCTTTGTTCAACCTTTGTTGAGTCCCATAGAGGAGGGCCTTTTTACAGAAAAACAGAGGTGAGAATTCAGACTCCTTACAAACATGGATGGAAGCTTCAAGATACCCAATTACTACTCTCAGGTAATCTGCACGGATACCATGGTGGGGAAGGGGCTCCTCCTGTTTGGACTTCTTTGCCAAATTGGAGTCAGGGGTGGAGGCAGACAAAATGCTTCAGTACTGCTGAATGACTTGAAATCCAGTATCATCAATAGTCTTTGCTGGTGGAGCCATAGATTTTTTTTTTTCCTGATGTGTATCTGGAGTACAGAAGTTAGCATGTGAATTTTTTTATCTTACTGAACTGCTCTTCTAATGGTCTCTTGGCATAAAAGATTATTTTTAATCACTCTTTTCTGTTTGGGGGCTTATTTTCAACCACTGATATTTCCAGGCTTTTATGTTCTTTAATTCTCAATTTGAGAATATATAAGGCAAAAAGAAAGCCCAGGGGATATAGTGAATAAGAGATGACAAAATAGAAGATTTTTCAGTTAGACTTTGTAAATGAGAAAAAAATAAGAAAAAATATTAGAAAATTAAGTTATAATTTTTTTAAGTGAGGAACTGTACTGAGAACCACAGGAGAGAAATAGGACAACTGAAAAGTGTGGCAAAAAAAGGCAGTGAAAACAATGGAAATTAAGAAACAATTTGCAGCTCTAGTCCCACCTTCTCCAGTGAGAGGCAGAAGAGTATGAAGCCTTTACTACAATGTAGACTTGGCATCCTCTATGACAGTGGCAGACTCAGCTCTGGAATAAATCCATACACTTTACAAACCTCAAACCTCAATGCAGGGATTTTTTTGGTCAGTGACTTCCCAAGAATGACAAGTGAGCATTAGACAAGAGAAATATTCACTCACATATGTCACAAAGTAGTAGGGAGGTGCCATCTTGACAGGACTTCCTGTTCCAGTATGAGTAAAAGCATTTTCACTGCTTGTAGATCACATCCAGAAAAGCACCTAGCTTCCACTAGTAGAGTACTCAGATTATAGGTAAAACCAGAGTGATCAGGTTGTCATAACTTCTTGTAATAGCTTACAGCCAGGTAAATTCTAATACGAGCTTTACCTGGGGAGCTGTATTTAAAACAAAGAACAACTGAGAGTCAAACATAAATCTGGACATATTCTAACTTGGTCAAGCTGAGAGCATGCTTAGGTAAAGGCATGCAGAAAATGGCTCAAAACACTTGGCCAATGAGAGCCGTCCTGTTGTCTGAGAGCTATCTTAAGAAAATGATTCATAAGAAAAGACTCAGATTATAGGAGATTTTAGGATTATTAGGGAGTTTTAGCTGCTTGAAGTGGCCTCTGGGCATATAAACTCTCATCTTATAAAAGCTACAAGAGTGAACATTAGCTATGGATACAAAGGATAGTGAAGAGGGGGAAAGACCAATGAACTCAAAAGAATATTAGAATGACAAATAAAGTGATGAATGAATTCAAAGAATATAAATAGCTAACAGAATTCAAAGAGAATACAAATAAACAAATGAATAAGGAAGCAATGCAAGATACAAAAGAGAACCTTAAAGACACAGATATTCTAAAAATTGCTCAAATTGCAATTCTGGGAATGCAAAGCTCAACAAGTCAAATTTTTAAAAAAGTACATCTTATCTATCAGCAGAGTTGCTTTAGCTGACAGTGGAAGGTGTCGAGGAGGGAATGGGCTTTGGAGAGTTCATAGGACAAGGATAAAACATGATGAACTTCTTTCTTTTTAGTAAAGACTTACATTGAATCTTGCTGTCACTAGAGACAGTTGTTCCTAAAATTTCAATCTTTCCAATACAATGCAAGAATCTGCAGTCTTCCTCTCCCATACTGCACTTGCCTGGTTATACCCATGTTTCACACCACCAGTATCTGACCGGGCTGTGCCCTTATCCTGTTTTCTGTACCTATGTGGAGGTGTGAAGGTTCTTTCTCTCTCCCAATTACAGCCTGGATGTATACTTTCTTGTGTGTCCTGGTTCCTGATGTGAAATTGGTTAACACCTCTTGCTTGTATTGGGTAGCATGAGGATAAGAACTTAACTGGTTATTCTTGAGTTTCTTTTGCAATAAGCCAGTTTTATAATCTTTAAAAAAATGTGGAAAGTCTCTGTAGATGTTAATTATCAGAATACAAGAGATTCAGAATAAGAATGTATTAGAACAGTCAGATGAAGAATGGCAGTAAAAATTTTTTTAAGAAAGAAAGGATTACTCAGGTCCTCTGAGACACAATTAAAAGATGACACTCCCAAATTATAGGCATAAAGCAAGAAGAGGTACAAACTACAGGGATATAAATCATTTTCAGTTTTAAAACATAGGAGAAAATTTCCAATGTTTTGGAAAAAATAGATATTGAGGTACACAAGATGTAAAGATACACATAAGATCAGATTAGGAAACTAAAACCCCAAGACAAATTATAAGTAAAATGTTGAGTATACAGAAAGGGAAGAATGAAAGCTCAAGGAGATTAGCACCCAATTACATATAATGGCAAACACATCACTCTACCAACAGATTTCTTAATAGAAAACTTAAAAACAAAGAGACATGGAATCATATATTTCAAACACTGAAAGTAAATCAGTGCCAATGTAGATTATAGTGCCAATGTAGATTATTCTATTCAGCAAAGCTACCATTCATAACTGAAAGACAAATGAAAATTTCCATAATAAACACCTGAAGCAATTTATTGTCATAAAACCAGAAGATACACAAGATACCTAAAGGAATCCTATATAGGGAAGATAAACATTTTTTCCAAAGCATCTCTCAAAATTTATTTATTTACATTTTCTTACATTCAAGTTTCTTCAAGTACACTGCACAAATTCTATGTATAGAATTTGAAGTAGCTTAAGTTTTGGCTCTGTTATGTTTAAAATTGGCAATGTTATTGAGAAGCTCTGAAAATCTTGGACTTCCTATTTCTTCAGTTTTCCTTTCAAGGTATGAGAGGTAAATGGGTTACTGTGAAAGATTATTGATGATCAGGAAGCACTTTGCAAATTTGTGTTGGCCATTCTCATTTGCTCCTAGAGATTCACATGCCACCTTTCTCCAGCATTTTCTGTGCCCTCAGAGGCTGATCAGTAGCAAGGTTTCATTCCTTTTGGTTTTCTACTGGGTTGTGGGAAACCCCAGCTAAATTAGTGTAAGAAGGGAGGAAAGAGAACTCAAGGTATTCCTCCTGATTCCCTCTTTTGACAGTCAGTTACCACTGATTGCTTTTATATATTGTCAAAACTATAAAGCATATAGAGTTCATAGAGATAGTTATACATAGGTAATTACTACTTATTTTATATAGAAAATATTACTCCCCAATATTTTTCCACTGTAAAATTTATTAATGACCTGTGCTTTTATCTGCAGTACATTATGAACTTACATTTCTATGAAAAAAATCTTCATGAGAAAAATCAAAAACATTTTGAATGCCTATGGTCTCAGTTCTCCAGTAAAAAAGTCAAAAGAATGGAAGAATGATTAAGAAGCAAAATCTGATCATTTGTTACCTATAAAAATTTTTCTTGGCTGGGAAATTAACTCAATGGTAGAGTGCTTGCCTCACTTGCATGAGGCCCTGGGTTCGACTCCTCAGCACCACATAAGCAGAAAAAAGCCAGAAGAGGCACTGTCGCTCAAGAGGTAGGGCACTAGCCTTGAGCTGAATTGCTGAGGGACAGCTCCCAGGCCCAGAGTTCAGCACCTATGACCGACAAAAAAAAAAAAAAAAAATTCTTACGGATAAAAACAAACATTAGCAACCAAACAAACTCAAAAGGCAGGCAGTTTCATATCTGAAAAGTAAACTTCAAATAAAATCAGTCAGAAGGGACAGAAAAAAGAGAACAATCCATCAAGAGGAAATACAATGGCTAACATCTAGGTGCCAAATATTGCTGCATCTACCTTCATTAAACAAATACTACTGCACTTAAAAGTACAGATCCCAGCACAATAGTAGTGGAGACTTTTTTAAAATTTCATTTTATTGTAAAGATGTTGTACAGACTTACATATACAGTTACATGAGTAAGGTAATGAGTATATTTTTTATCGAGCATTTTTACCCCTTCTTTTTGTGCCCCACATTCACCAATAATAGGTTATCCTACCTATTGTAGAAAAAATTCTAAAAGAAATCTCAAAATGATATATAATATCAAGATAGTTTGACTCTAGGTATGCAGGTTGATTCAATAGAGGTACATTAATTGATATAAATAGATTTTTTCTGGTACATTTTTCATATATAGAAGACTATAAATAGAACCTTTCAAAAAACTTCCACTATAATAAATAAATTCACTGTGGTCACTAGAAATCATGTTAATCAAATGATGGTTCAGCAGGATTTTTTTCTCCCAGATGTGTATGTGGAATCTATACAATAAGCATACTTGTAAACACATAGAGAATTATATACACGCATACAGGTACACACATAAAAAAATTTGCAACTGTGGGACTGTTGAGGGGAATTTAGAAAGGAAGTACTATTGGAATGGAAAAAAGTGAATAGTGATGGTGAATATAGTGGAAATACTTTGTGTACATGTGTCCAATGGATCATTGAATTCTGTTGAGATTGATTTGGTCCAGGGAAGGGAAGGAAAGGAGAGTCAGACAATGTTTTGGGGGGGGGGTGGGCATTTGTTTTTTATTTAAGTAAATTCTAAATTACTTTTTCTTAATAAATTGTACCTTTTGTATTACAGCCCCAATTTTACTGTTCCTGCTTTATCATCATTTTGCTCTTTTTTTTAAAAAAAAGGTTCTTATTTATAGTATTTTATAATCATGCAAACTAATTGGATTCATGATGAAATTTTCATACTTGCATATAATGTACTTTGATCATATTCATTTCTTTTTTTCCTCTTTTTTCTTTTTTTGCTTTTTTTTTTAATTGTAAAAATGCTGTACAGAGGGGTTACAATTACATGGGCAAGATAATGAGTACATTTCTTATCAAGCATTGTAGCCTCCTTTGTTTCCCCTTCCCATCCCATCCTCCCCCCGCCCCCTCCCCGTATTCATTTCTTATCATACCATCCCCCCTCCCTTTTTTATTGGTGCTGGTCTTCAGCTTGAACTCAGGGCCTGAGTGCTATCCTTGAGCTTTTGTGTTCAAGGTTAGTATTCTACCTTTTGAGCCACATCTCTACTTCAGTCTTTTGGGTAGTTTATTAGAGAGCAGAGTCTCATGGACTTTGTTTCCCTGGCTAGCTTTGAACATGATCCTCTGATCTCAGCCACCTGAACAGTGAGGATTCTACATAAAAGAAAATGTGCAATAATACTTAACTTTTTAAATCTAGCTTATTTTGCTTAACATGATAATTTCTAGCCCCATTCATTTTCCTGAAAATTACATAATTCATTACACCACATGACTTCATGGTGTAGATAAAACATTTTATTTATGTATTTATTTTATATCGGTTCTAGTTAATTTCCTAGCTTGGCATTTGTGCATATATAATGCTGTGGTAAACATGGATGTGCAGGTATTGTTAATGTTGATTTACGCTCCTTTGGATATATACCCAAGATCAATACAGAAGGATCATAACACAGGTCTCCTTTTAGTTTTTTTGATAAAACTTCTGATTCCCACAGTGGTTGTGGTAGTATTAGTTTACTTTCCCACCAGAAGTGTGTAAGTTTCCTTTGCACTAGGCACTGGTGTTTCACACCTATATTCCTAGCTACTCAGGAGGCTGAGATCTAAGGATAGTGGTTCAAAACCAGCCTGGGAACCTATTATACCCAATAAACTACTCAGAAAAAGCCAGAAGCAGTGCTATGGCTCAAGTGGTAGAGTGTTAGCCTTGAGAAAAAAGAATCTCAGGGACAGCAACCAACCCTGAGTTCAAGTTCCATGACACACACACACACACACACACACACACACACACACACACACACACACACACACACACACACACACACACACACACACACACACACACACACACACACACACACACACACACACACACACACACACTTTGTCCCACATCTTTGCCAGAATCTATCTATTTTTCCTTGCTGATTTCCATTTGCCTTGGGTAAGAGAGAGCCTCTGTGTCATTTTGTTTGAAATTTTGAATATGTCAAAAGATTTTCTTCTATTCTGTGGGATATATCTTGATTCTGGTAATTGTTTCCTTTGAGGCTTTTAAATTTAATAAAATCATATTTTTCAATCCTTGCTTTTATTTGGTAAGTAAAATACTATTCAGAAAATAATTGTATATACTATATCTTTCAGTGTTTTCCCTATGTTCTTCTGATGTAGTGTCAGGATTTTAGGTCTTACATTTAAGGTCTTCAATCCATTTTGAGTTGATTTTTCTTTAGGCTAAAAGTGTCTAGTTTTTTTTTTTTTTTTACATGTTGTATGGTTTTCTTAGTACCATTTGTTGAAGATTTGAATGTTGGTATGGTTTTCTCAATACCATTTGTTAAAGAAGCTGTCTTTTCTTTAACATACTTTTTGGTTTCTTTGTCAAAGGCCAAATCATTATTGTTTGTGTTGTTTGTGGGAGGGAGCTCTTGTTCTATTGGTAACCTTGTCTGTTTTTAAGCCAAGGCCTAGCTGTTTTTGTTACTCTATTTTTGTTAGCTCTGTAATTTAATTTGATGTCTAGTATTGTGATACCATCAGTGTTAGCCTTTTTGTTCAAGATGGAATTTTTTTATTCAAGAATTTTTATGCTTCAATATGAATTTTAGGACTGATTTTTCTTTTATGTGAAGAATGACATTTGCATTTTGATGAGAATTATATTGAATATAGATTGCTTTTAATACTATAGCCATTTTCACAGTATTCTGCTAATCTGTGAACATGGGAGTGGGTTTTTTTTTGTTTTGTTTTGTTTTTTTGGTCGGTTGTGGAGCTTGAACTCTGGGCTTGGGTGCTATCCCTCAGCTCTTCAGCTCAAGGCAAGCACTCTATCGCTTGAGCCACAGCGCCACTTCCAGTTTTCTAGTGGTTTATTGGAGATAGGAGTCTCACGGACTTTCCTTGCCCGGGCTGGCTTTGAACCATGATCCTCAGATCTCAGCCTCATGAGTAGCTAGGACTACAGGTGTGTACCTGTAGCTAGGATTACACCAGTACCCAGCTGGGAGTTTTTTTTTTTTTAATATCTTTTAGTATCTTCAATTATTTTCTTCAAGTTTTTATAAGTTTCACTGTAGAGGTGTTTCCCATGGTTGGGTTGTTTTGTTTTGGAGATTATAAGTAGAGCTGTTTGTCTGATTTCTTTATCAATCTATTCATTGTTGGTATATACAAATTTTTATATTTATTTTATATCTTTATATGCTGCCTAAAGTGTTGACCAGATATAGATATGTCTTGGTGAAGTCTTTAGGTATTTTAAATATAAGATTGTACCATTTTTAAATTGGAATAATTTGATTTCTTCCTTTATTTGAACATCTTTTTCCATTTGCTTATTGTTCTGACTTGGAATTCCTGTACTCAATTGAATAAGATTAGGTTACCTTATCTCATTCCAACTTCAGATAAAATGCTGTAGTTTTTTTTTCCAGTTAGTACGATGTTAGCCATAGGTTTGTTATATACATCTTGTTTTGTATTGAGGTACATTCCTTCTATTTCTAATGTCTTAACAGTTTTTAAATAAAAAAAGAAGGAACTTCATAAAATTTATTCTATGAAGCCAGTCTTACTATAATACCAAAACCCAGACAAGGATGCAATCTTAAAAGTAAATTATAAACCAGTTTTTAAATGAATGTAGACACAACAATTCCTTTTTCTGTTGTTCTGAGACTCAAACTCAGTACTTGATGCTTTTGTGCATTGTGTAGTGCTTTACTAACTGAGCCATGCATCCAATCCCAACAATTCTTTTTTTTTTTTTTTGTCTTTTCTTTTTTGGTACTGGGGATCGAACCCAGGACGTTGCATTTGCTAGGCAAGCGCTTTGCCACTGAGCTACATCCCAGCCCGAATCCCAACAATTCTTAATAAAATACTTGCAACCAATTCAACAACATTAAAAAGGTCATACACCATGATCCTTCTTTATAGAGATGTGAGGATGGCTCAATATGCCCAAGTCTATATATGTAAAATAACATGTAAACAGAATCAAAGACAAAATTTATATGATCACCTCAAAAGAGACAGGAAAAACCTTTTAAAAACAGCTAATTTTTAGAAAATAAAGGATACATTTTAGAGCTAGAGCTGAATATTCTAAGCAAATTGATTCTTGTCTATGGAACAAAAGGTAAAAAGGATAATATATAACTGTGGAGGTTAATATTCACTTTTTCTTTTATACTTTTATGCCAAAGTGTTACAGTAGTTTACACTGTAAGTGTATTGTGTCAGTCCATACTCAGAGAATATCAGCTTTCTCTAGTTTGGTAGAAGCCATGAAAATTAATTAACATCTTGGAAATTAAACATTTGTGTTTCTAAAATTAGATAATCCTTTTTATTAGCATACATGAGGTATATAAGGAGGTTTCATTTTAACATAAACCTTGATCATAGTCACTTCCTTGGTCAATACTTTCCTCTCTACCATCCTACTTTCCAAACTAGTCTAGCAAGCTTCCCTGCTGCATTTTCATGTTTGTACATAAAGTATGTTGACCATAGTCTCCCTCGCATCCTGTATTCAAATCTTTGATAAACCTTTATATGATAGTCTTATTTTTCCTCTTGTCAGTGCTTAAGTATCACTGGTTCTGGAACTTTTTCATTTCACAGTCTTCATATTTTATCTATGCCTTAAATTTGTCTCTATTTCAAAATTTTTTATAATTACAATGGTACAATTTATTTCTTGTATCAAATGAATACCATATTGGTTAAAGATGTAATTAAACAAATTTAATATTTTGTGAAATAGTCATTAAAATTCAGAGGAAAAAAGATTAATAAGTAATTTTGCCATATGTATTGATATTTGCCTTTTTGAAGCATTAAAATAATTAAAAATGTATATTTTAAAGTTGGCCAGGGGTACTTTGCCCTGATCCTCTTCAAGAAAATTATGTAAACTATGACTTGGATGGAAACGTTGAACAATATCACATTGAATTCCTGGGAGATCCCCATTCAAAATCATGGATAAATGCAAGATTTGTTGAACATTATAGTATCGTATCAAAGGTTGGTATGGTTACATCAAACGTTTATAAGTTTTGCATTTGTTTTTACTAGTGACTATTTCATTTCAGTTCCTAAAAGGTATATAATCACTTAAATTTAACTTATATACACAAAATAATAATTACCACTTGTTAAATTCAAACATTTTTGTTTTAAAGAACTTATGGATATAAAATTACCTTTGGAATTTTATTTTATAATTTTTGTCTTCTTTTTGATATACTACTAGTATGGTATGACTTTATGCAATTCAAGGAAGAAAAAACAATTTTCAATGTAAAGTATCTAAGGAATATATATAGATAGATAGATATAGATAGATATATACATGTCAGAAACAATTCAGTATTGAAAGGACTTAATATTTATCAGAAATAATTTAATGTAACAATTTTATAAGTATGTTAGGACCAAAATCCAAGGCACCAGCAAAACCTTGTGGCAGGTACAGATAAGTCTGGATCTTCCCTGCTAATGGGAAGTGCAACTGCTCATGAAAGTAGTCCTCATCCTCATTACTGTATCGAAGTCTGGGCTAGTGAATACATCACCTGTAGGAATTTTAAATTTTCCAACTGAAATTTTTATGTAATTGATTTTTAGACATTTAATATTTTTGGTGATTTTTAAAAAGCAAACATTTTATACTCCTTTTATTTTGAATTACATATTACAATTAATGAATAGATTGGATTTTGAGGCTGACCAAAATAAGTAAATTGGACTTTTTCCTAAGATTTGTTATATGTAATAAAAATCATTTTTTTACATTCTAATATTCAAACTTTTCTTACTTTCATTTAAAACCTAGGAAAAAATAGATGCATAAATGTGGAAACTTTTAACTGTATTTTTCTATATTATGGTGAAAAGTATATATATTCAGATCTATTTCTTGGGGTATACTTAATTAAAGCGTGAAATTCAGTCCATGTAAGATCAAAGCTGTGGAAATTTGATACACTAAAATGGTTTTACTTTTTCCTTGACATCCATAGCATTTTTGTACAATTAGCTAGAAGGAAATTCTATTTAGTAAAACTGTACAAATAGAGAATACCCACACACACATCTACTTCAAATTAGTTTGGTCAGTGACCTCAACCTGAGGTTCTTTCTATGTTTTCATGTTTGGATGTGTTTCTAACCATGTCTTCTGACAACCACAGAAGACTGTTTCTTCCCTGCTCTTTCCATCTTTCTAGGGTAAAAAGAATTTCAAACTAAAAATAATTTTCATATCTCTTAGAGAGCAATATGTAGTCGAAAATGTAAATATCATTTCTTCTAGAGGAAGTATGTAATTTGCACAAGTTGTGTAAGTCACTTTTTCTAATAACAAAAGGAAGAATAATAGGCATATATAATTGTCATTGTCAATCGGTGACTAAATCTTCTTATATTATTTCAAGAATGGAACAGGTGGCTAACTTTCCAGTATCAAATACAAGAACAATGTAGTAAGTATCAACTACATTTCTCATTTGTGGAATGGCAATGTTTTTCTAAGAAATTTCAACACGAAGTTATCTCAATTTCTTACAAGTATGCTTACTTTCTCTTTGAAAAATCATTCCTATCATTGTTTATAAGCCAATAATCAAGACTCATTAAATTGACCTCAGAATCAAATTAAATTGACCTTTATGAATGAAGTAAAGATGTCTTACAATGAGTTTTTTTTTCTCTTTTTGGGGGGGCTGGTACTGGGGCTGGTACTCAGGGCCTAGGTGCTGTCCCTGAGATTTTTTTTTTTTTTTTTTTGCTCAAGGCTAGCACTCTACCATTTGCACCACCACTCAATTTCCAGCGTTCTGGGTACTTATTTGGAAATAGAATTTCATGACTTTCCTGCCCAGGTTGGCTTTGACCTGTGATCCTTACATCTCAAGTCTCTTGAATAGCTAGGATTAGAGGCATGAGCCATCGGTGCCACGCTGGAATTCTTAAGTTAGTAGTATATGCAACAAAGTAACTACTAGATGTATTCTTCATCAAGGAATGGTGAGCTGCAAAACTCATGTAACTGAGAAATCTATATGTGGATATGTTTTTCACTCTTTTTTTGTTCCTTCTCTTTTATTTTTGAATATTTTTAGGAAATATTGGACAAATATATGACCTCAGCAAGAACTTCATTTCCTAAGTGTCAAACAATTCTGATTAATGTTTAAATAATTTTCAGAAATATGACCTCTTTACCTTTCTGTTTGACCTACAGAATAAGTGCTGCTTCTGTATCACATATTAAACCATCTTTTTCCACCCAAGTCTCCTACTTGCTCATATGATTCTATCATTAAATATAGAATCTGAGCATCTATCTCTATATAAATACAATGAATGTTTACCTATGAGTACATTGTCTATTAAAAGTAAGCAAGCATAGGTTAGAAAATGGCAGTCCAATAAGCAGATTTTCTTTTAGGTTCATATCTTTATAGCCACTAATACGGTTGCTTTAAATACTTTGGACAAAACTTGACTTTTTAAAGATTAAAAGCAAATGAGCACATGCCTGTTTTCATGTACATTTTCTGTACATTTCCCCTAACTGTGCTTAACATCCTTCATAAAACAGTCAGCCAGACTGAGCAGCAGGAGATAGCAGCATTTCAAATAAGTACTGACCTTAAAAATTATCTCTTGCCTTGGTGCTCATTTCCTTCCTTTTTATTCATCAATATATTATGAGTAATTCACTGTCATTTTACATAGCAGTATTTACAACTGTTTTCCTTCTATGACAATTCATTTTTGGAAAATAAAATCTCTACAACTTGAAATAAATTTTTTAAAAATGCTTTATATACAACTAATTTTTATGTTTTTAAATTGTTTATAAAACAAATGAAGCCTATTATTTGCCATTTTAATTATACTTAAATTTAATTATGCTTGTAAATTTCAATGATTATTTATTTTTTAAGCTGCTAGTTAATAGTGCTAGAAAAAAATTAATGTGCAATTTAGAATTGACTTTATATGAAAAGTACCTCATGACAAGTTCCAATCATTTTAAACCCCATCTAATTTTTATGATATGGACTAGGAGCTGTTCACCACCATCTTCTAGATTGTACAACAGAATTGCTTGTAGTGAAATGGTATCATTTTGTAGTTACTGAGCACAAAATCTCTGGAGCTATGTTGCCTATGTATGAATTTAAGGCTATCTTAATAGCTGTATAAATCTGTGCAAGTTTTAAATTCAGTGCTTTACCTTCCTGATGTGTAAATATAATACTACTACCTAATGAGCTTATTAGTGAGTGAAAATAGGCACTGGATAAATCAGTAAGCTAAAAAATAATAATCAAGTTCCTATATAAATAAAATATGTATTCACTTAACTCTGTACTGTGAACAGAGTTACTATCTCATTTTCTTGATAATCTCTTTTTAAATATATTTTTATTGTTAGTTACATGAATAAGGTAATGAGTACATTTCCTATGAAGCATTGTTACCTCTTCCTTTGTTTTTCCCCACCATCCCTTCCCTTCCCACCTCCCCAACTCCCCCTCCCCCCCAAGTTGAAAAGTTCGTTTTCTACATAGTGTCTTGTACATATCAATTGTTTCTTTTGTTTCACTAAATCATTTTCATTTGATAAAGTGCTATCACTTCTTTCTATTTTTTCCTTAACTATTAGATACATAATTATTCAGAAAGTCATTAGCTAATGTCTATCAAGATTAGAAGTTGAACTATTTACTCTCTATTTCTCTCTAATTATTTCAAAGATTTTGGTCATACATTAAAGTCTTTGATCTAATTTGGGATTATTTGTCTACAGATTGAGAGATAGGTATCTACTTTCAGTCATCTACATGTAGATAACCAGTTGTCCCAGTACTATTGTTGAGAAGGCTTCTTTTTTCGATTTTATTTTCCATAACTTTGTCTGAGAATGAGATATGGCTGTTAGCCATGTATGTTTATTCCCAAGTCTTCTATTTATTTAGCCTGTTTTTGTACCAGTTCCTGCTGTGCCAGTTACTATGGCTCTTTAGTGTAATTTGTAATGAAGTATTGAACTATTTTTAATTCAGCTAATTTGATTAATTAACTTAATCTTTACCTATGGTTTTTCAAAGGTGAACTAAACTGTTAAAGGCTTCTAAACCACCTTTAATACACTGATTACTTGCCATGAATTTGGATCATTAAAATGTAGAATTTCATTCTTTTGTAACATTATCAGTAGTGATTATTATTACTACAAGGTGGGTATACTTGTGTTGTGTTGTCTTTACTATTGGCTGCACAACTTGCTGGTCATCAAGTTCTGGTATAAATATCCTTAAAACAGGCATTCCTGAACCTGTCACCAGATGCAGGTGAAGGTTTCCTTCAAAAGATCAACTCTTCACTTAGGGTCCTTGACTTTGATCACAGAATAAGAACTTCTGGACAAGTCATGATGGTAAGAAAACTTAGCAGAGCTTTATTGAGTAAGCAAGCAGGCAAGCAGGCATACAGACAAATAGGCAAACAGAAAGGCCCGGGGACACAGAGTGTGAGTGTTCTGAAGGAGAGACACTCAGCTCCTCGGGTCTTAGGGGTATTTTTATGGTAAAGGCATGGGGTCTGACTTAGCTAAAATAGGTGTTTTATCTTTGCTGTAATCCCTCCTATCGTTGCATTTTCTGAATTTCTGGATGTTTGGGGCATTCTTTCCAGGTAAGAATGCATCCTGCCATAGAACAGATGCTTGTCCTTGAGATAAAGAAGGCATCCTGTTGTCTGCATTTTGGGTAGGAGGTTGCTTAAATTTTGAGGGAGCATTTTTCTTAGGAAGGCATACATCCTGCCAGACAAATGTTACTTCTTATGGTAAGAATGAATTCCTCAAGAAGGGAGAAATTCTGTTGTCTCTCTTTGAAGCAAAGATAGTGCTTCTGGGATTCTAAATACCATGTTTCTGAATTGCCTTCAGTAGGCCTCATTTTCCTCAATTTATCCTGCCTCATTTTTATATAATAAATGACTTTGGTTCCTTAATCTTAAGGGAAGTAGGCAAATGACTTTCTCCTGTATTTGCTGTAAGCTTACCATGCTTCATTTTTTCCATTAGCCTATCCTGCTTCAAAAGTACTCACTGGAGAGTATTTTAGGAATCTGTACTTTAATCAGCTTATAGCCAGTCTGGTTAAAATATAGATTCAAAGGGAATCTCAGGAACTACTATATAGTGGGTCTCAATGTCTCATGCTTGTAATCATAGCAACTCAGTAGGCCAAGTGCTGAGAACTGCAATTCAAAGACTGTGGATATACAAATCCCTGAGATTCTTATCTCCAATTAACCAGCAAAAAGCAAGAAGCAGAACTGTGGCTCAAGTGGTGGAGCACCAGCTTTGAAGAAAAAGCTAATGGACATCACCCAGGCCCATTTTTGAACAAAGACAAAATTCAGTGGGCTCATGAGACTTTAATTAGCAGAATAGGACAAGTAAACAAATAAGGAAAAGATGTTGCATATTAGTTATGAGTTCTATAGAGAAAAATCAGACTTGAGCAAAGGTGTAACCTTTCTATTTGAATTTTCAAGCTCCATGACAAGGGCTTAATAACTAACCACTAGCCAAATAGCAGTGGTTAGTTGGTTATAAATTTTGTTTATATTTTCCTTCTACTTTATTCCAAAAGGCAACTGAGCATTTTGTATTCCTGAGCAAGGCAATTTTCTGTTGTTATGGTCAAAAACAGGTCTTTTTTGTTTTCCTGATCTGAATTCCTGGAGGGTAAGGAGAGTGGACTTCAAATAGAGAGGCTAGAAGGAGAACCAAGAGCAGCAAGGCAGAGAATACATTCTTCTCCTCCTGTAGAATGACAGAAATCTGCCATGGGCAAGTGGCAGTGCCTAGGAGAAGAATGGCACAGTGGGGTACTTGGGAACAATAAATACCATTAAGATATTAAGCCTCTTAAAAGATTATTTTGCCCTAGTATGGTAAAGAAGCTGTTGGTATGCATGATCATGTAAAAACTATGTATGGCTTTACAATTTATGTAAACTTAAGGTACCCCCAAATGACTGAAATAAACTTTACATTCCCAGTTTGAAAAGTATATCACATTGAGTTTGATTTAGGGGGAAAAAAAGTAGCTAAAAATGGTGTGCTAACACAGTCCAGTTTGATGAATAAGATTTACCTTGTTACAACCCCAGCTAATCTAATGTCTGCAGTGATTCATATATAGAAAAAAAAATGATACAAAGAAACAAACATGAATTGTTGCTAGATTGAAGAAATGTCTCCATTGAACTTCCTGGTAAATAAATATGGTATTTTCCTCAATTTTGCCACCTATTAGTATGCAGCAATGTCAGAAAACTAAATCAGAGTCGGAAGTTACAGAGAAGGAATATTCAACTTCCTCCTCAAACTATGGAGAATAGGAAAATATATGAAGGTTTGGCCAATAACACCTGCTGGAAACAAGATCACGTAGGACAGTGATTTTCAAACTATCATTTTTAACATGGCTAGGAATTTTCATTCATGCAGGACATTATCTTTTCTTGTCTAGCCATCTACTTAGTTTCAAACCTCATCCTGATCCCAAGTATATCCTGTTTTTTTCATTTATCAAAAATTAACTTGTTTTCATATTACTTACATTCATAAGTTTACACCAATGTTGAGATGAAATGTCCCCATTTCAGTACTCAGCTGGGTGCTGGTGGCTTAAGCCTGAATCCTAACTGTGTAGGAGGCGGAGACTTGAGGATAGCAATTCAAAGCCAGCCTGGAAAGAAAAGTCTTTCCTGTGTATTTAGTATGCCAGATAAGCCAATATGAAAATTCTAAAATTATTATTTCCTTATAACCACCAGAAATCCAGAAGTGAAATTGTGGCTCAAGTGGTATAACATTACCTTTGAACAAAAAAGCTCAGGGATAGCACCCAGAGTTCAAGTCCTAGCCTTGAAAAAATAGTAAAAGACTATTAATAAAAAATAGTAAAAGATTAATATCAACAAAGGAATTGAATTATGTGTGTATATATGTATATGTATATATATATATATATATATATATATACACACACACACACACACACATGTATATATATCAGGAATTGAACTCAGGGCTTCATGCTCAGTCAGCTTGATTGCTTATGACTAGTGCTTTACCACTTTAGTGATGTTTCCAGTATAGCTATTTCTTAAAGAGAGAATATTTATGGTTTTAAAATATGAAAATTTGATTATAACTGAACCTTGGATCTTGAATTCTCACTTGACTTTCTTACTCATGCTGTTACTCTACCATTTGATGAATGCCTCCACTCCAATCTGGTATTTTTGCTGGTAATTGGAGATGGAGTCTGTCAGACTTTTTTACCTGGACTGATTTCAAACTTGATCCTCCAGATCTCAGCCTCCTGGGTAGCTAAGATTATAGGTTTGAGCTCTGGCTCCTGCCTACACCTCAATTCTCAATCTTTCTCCAAATCTCTTACTCTTTTTGGAGATGGAACCTAGGCCCTTGCACACCATCAACAAATACTCTCTTGAGTGATATCCCCAGGTCAAAAGTCTCACTTTCTTGATAACCTGACCTATCTCAGTAAATTAAAAAAGTTCTTTTACTTACTTTGTCCAAAGTCTAGTCTTCTCTTATACAATCAGTTTTCAGAGAGTCAGGTTTATGATACATTGACTCAGTCAACAGTGAAAGTGTATATAATCTCTGAACACTAGAAAGGAGATATTAATAATTGATTCCTCTGTACTTTATAGGTGGTACATATGTATTGCTAGAATTTGAGTATATTACTTCTTGAATTTAAAAACCTTAAGTAAAATACAATCCAGAGTTAACTCTAATTCTGAAAATCAAAATTCTTTATAAAATTGAAGGGAAGGAATGACATCGAAAATGAAATGTGTTATTTACTGTACTTGTTTAACTACAAACCCTCTATTTTTTAACATTTACAAATAAAATTATAAAAATAAAAATTCTTTGTAAAATTGACTTTCCTTAGAAAGTGTTCATTCATATTACCACTAGGTGGCACAGATCTACCAATAACTTCTTAAAGAGTCAGACAAGTTATTTTATACAGAACTTTTCAATTCTATTAGACCACTAAAGATCTCCTCTCCCCTCCCATGGCATATTAGTTTTTCACAAGAATTAACAAAAAACAAAAGTATTTCCTTGTATATTTCTAAGGAACAGTACAGAAACTATTACACAAGCTTTTATCAGTTCATCTTTTTCTTTAGTACTATGGATTAAACCTAAATTATCACACATACTAGGCAAGCACTCTTCCTGAATTACATACATACCAAGCCTTAGTCTATACAAGCTTTTAGGTGATTTTCCATGATAACTTCTTAACATTAGGATGATTAGAGTTGAAGAGGTGTTTTAAACATGCAAAATCTTTAGTTACTCAGGAGGCTGAGATCTGAAGATCATGGTTCAAAGCCAGCAAAAAATCTGTGGGATTCTTATCTCCAATTTACCACCAATCAAGTTTCTTAAGTGGTAGAGCACTGGCGTTGAGGGAAAAAGCTAAGGTACAGTGCATAGGCTTTGAGTTTAAGATTCAGTACTCACACACATACATACACACACACACACACACACACACACACACACAAATCTAAAGGCTATATAGTCAAAAATAGCAGATTTTTGTGATAATTAAACTACTTATATTTTAATCTTTTTATTTTCCCTAAGGAATAATTTAATGAATGAAAATTTTAGATTCAATATGCAAAACTATATTATTACGTAATTGTATTACTAATTAACCAATGCTTAAGACTATAATTACCAATTAACCAAACCTTAACAATCACTTCCTGAATGCTTGAATAATATACAATGAGATGTTAGACATATGCAAACTCTGGAAGATACAAAGGTGAAATATTTATTGCCTCTTGTCTTTATGCAACTTTCAATTTACGCACCTTTCAATTTATGTACCTTTATGCACCTTTCAATTAGTTCCAGCTCAATAGTTAAATCATCTGGATTAAAAGAAAATGATTTATTTAAAAGTAACTATTTTTTTCTGTATTTTATGTAGCCAGGAAAATGTATAAGTAAAAAGAGGTGGCATAAAAGTGCACTAGAAGAAGCCCACCTACTCTATGGATATTCTTATGAGCAAAGGCTAGAAACATGCTACCTATCAAAACACAGTGAGTTTTTCAATTCTTCCCACCACCAAATAAGGATTTCTTCCAATATATGTTTTCTGAAATGTTTATGCATCTAAAATTTGTCTCTTTCTCTTCAAAGGGAAATATTGTATCTGTGTCCATTGCAAAATATTTTTACATATATTAATATCCTGTATTTTGTTCTTGAAACTTTTGTGTCTGTGCACGTGTCAGTGCATGCTAGTCCTGGGGCTTGAACTCAGGGCGGAAGCACATTCCTGAGCTTTTATGCTTAAGGCCAGAGCTCTTTTACTTTAGCCACAACTCCACTTTTGACTTTTTTCCCCCATTGGTGGTTAATTAGAAGTAAGAGTCTCAAAGACTTTCCTGAACTAGCTTGGCTTCAAAGGGCTATCTTCAGATCTCAGCCTCCTGAGTTAGCTAGATTATAGCCACTGGAACCTTGCTGTAAAACTATTATTCATGACTAAAAATATACAATTCAGGGATTGTAGCTAGTGCTTCCTGTTGCATTTCTTACTCTTAGACTATGTGGCCATCTTGTATATTCAAAAACATGCAAGGATTTCAATAGACTCAAAATGAATTGAGAGTATGATCATTTCACTTGGATAGTGCTATACTTTTTCAGAACACAATATTTCTTAAATATTTTAGTTTCAAATGCAAGACAAAATATAACTTTAAACTCTTTTGAATATTAGGTAAAAATATAGTAATATTTTAGATCATTTTCAAAGGCAGTTCTCTGGAATCCTCATGTTTTATAGTTTTTTAAAATTAATTCCTCTAAAAGACTGTAATAGATATAGCACATATTGAATCTAAAGGGGTTATGATAAGCCCATAAAAGATAATTGTTAATGAGCTTAAAATGTTTTACATTTTTTTTACTTAATGTTCATAATCATTTTATATTTTATTCATTCTAAATTACCTTTAATTCTAAAATAGATTACTGTGTTCAGTTCTTAGACTGAACATTCTTTTTTGCAAATATCCATGTATATCTTCAGTAATACCTTACAATACCCAGTAATCTTCTTTATAAAAATATTTTATTTGGGAAAAAGTTCAAATATTATCCTAAGTTTCAGTGTTGAAGCAAATAAGCAGCCTTGAAAAGGGTGTGAAGGCTGAATGACAAGTAAATCTTTCTGGATCATTCTGAGCTCAGGAAAAGAAACTTTTTTTTTTAACCACAATGTGATGTCCCTTGTATTCAAAATATAATGTCTGTATTTTATTGTGAAAATACTGTACAGAGGGGTTACAGTTACATGAGCAAGGTAATGAGTACATTTCTTATTCAGCATTGTTTCCTCCTCCTTTGTTTTTTTCCCTACCCTCCTTTCCATCCTACCTCCTCAGCTACATCTGCAAACTCCCCCCACCCCTCCTCTTAAATTGTAAAGTTCCTTTTTCGACATAGTATCTTGTATATCTGATTGTTGCAATGGTCAATCTGTATCCCTATTTAAACAATTTGTTTTTTCCCTTCCCCTCCCCAAATTATACCACATCAAATACAGTGAAAACAAGGGTTATACCCTGGGGGAGGGACATATAAAGCAACAAAAACATCACATGCTACCTTATAAATACATTAAAAACAATAGTAAGAAAGAAAAAACCCTTGTGTCCTTATCTTGGGGTTCATTTTGCTTAACATCATCTTATCTGACCTTTTCTACATGTCCCAGACATATATTAGTTATGGCAAATAAGGGAAACCATGGGACCTATGGTTCTTTGGGCCTGGCTTACTTCACTTAATATAATTTTTTCCAAGTCTTTACATTTCCTAACAAATGGGTTGATATCATTCTTTCTGATGGAGGCATAGAATTCCATTGTGTATATATTCCACATTTTCTTGATCCATTCATCTACTGAGGAGCATCTGGGTTGGTTCCATATCTTAGCTATGGTAAATAATGCTGCGATAAACATAGTTGTGCTGGTAGCTTTAATATGGTCTTGTTTGTGATCATTCAGGTAAATGCCCAAAAGTGGGATTGCTGGGTCATAGGGGAGTTCTATGTGGATCTTTTGAGGACCCTCCATGCTACTTTCCAAAGTAGTTGAACAAGTTTACACTCCTACCAACAATGCAGTAGGGTTCTCTTCTGACCACATCCCCTCCAGCATCTGTTGTTATTAGGTTTCTTGATTATAGCCATTCTAACTGGGGTGAGGTGATATCTCAGTGTTGTTTTGATTTGCATTTCTTTTATGGCTAGAGATGTTGAGCATTTCTTCATGTGTCTATTGGCCATCCTTTCCTCTTCAGAGAAGTTTCTCTTTAAGTCTTTAGTCCACTTATTTATTGGGCAGTTGTTTCTTTAAGGATTTGTTGTTGGGGGATTTAATTTTTTGAGTTCCAGTTATAGTTTAGATATGAGACCCTTGTCCATTGTATGGCTAGTGAAGACCTTCTCCCAATCCATGGACTTTCTATTGATCTTGCTAGCTATGTCCTTTGTCATGCAGAAGCTCTGCAGCTTCATGAAATCTCATTTGTCCAACCTTTCTCTGATTTCTTGTGTTACTGGGTCTCTATTAAGAAAAGTTCAGCCTGTGCTTAGGAGACCTAGGGTTTCTCCTATTCCGTCCTGTAATGTTTTCAGGGTGTCTGCTTTGACTCTGAGGTCTTTGATCCATTTGGAGTTGATTCTGGTAAAGGGTGATATATAAGGATCTAGCTTTAGTTTTCTACAGGTGATTAACCAATTTTGTCAGCACCATTTACTGAAGAGGCTGTCTTTCTTCCTTCTATTTTTTTAGCTCCCTTATCGAAGATTAGGTGGCTGTATGTCTGTGGGTTCGTTTCTGGGTTTTCAGTTCTATTCCATTGGTCCTGAGGTCTGTTCTTGTGCCAGTACCAAGCTGTTTTGGTTACTATGGCTTTGTAGTAGAGTTTCAAATGTGGTATTGATATTTCTCCACCAATGTTGTTTCTGTTAAGGATTGTTTTTGCTATTCAGGGTCTTTTATTGTTCCATATGAATTTTGGGGTTACTTCTATTTCCTTGAAGAATAAGGTTGGAATATTGATAGGTATCGCATTGAATTTATAGATAGCCCCGGGAAATATTGCCATTTTCATGATGTTGATCCTTCCAATCCAGGAGCATGGGAGGTTTTTCCACTCTCTAAGTTCTGTTTTGATTTTCTTTTTCAGGTTTTTAAAATTTTTCATCATAGAGGAGCTTCACTTCCTTGGTTAAGTTAATTACTAAGTATTTTTTTTTTGTGGGGCTATTATGAATGGAATTGCTTTCCTGATTTCAGTTGTGCTCTTCACATTGTTGGCATACAGAAAAGCCATTGATTTTTTTAAATAGGTTTTTTATTGTGAAAATACTGTACAAAGGGATTACAATCACATGAGCAAGGTAATTAGTACATTTTTTATCAAGCGTTTTGCCTCCTACTTTGTTTTCCCTCTACCATCCCTTCCCTCCCATCTCCATAACTACATTTCCCCCCCTTCCCCTCCTAAATTGTAAAGTTCGTTTTTTGACATAGCATCTTAATTGTTTAAATATGGATACAGGTTGACCCATTGCAACAATGAGATGTACAAGCCATTGATTTTTGAGGGTTAATTTTAAACCCTGCTACTTTGCCAAAGTTTTGAGTCAGTTCAAGTAATTTGGGAGTGTAATCCATGGGATTCTTAAAATACAAGATCATGTCATCTGCAAAGAGGGAGAGTTTTATTTCAACTTTCCCTATTTGGATCCCCTTTATTTTTGTATCTTGTCTTGTTGCTGCAACTTGGCATTCTAGTACTAAATTGAAAGAAGTGGAGAGAGTGCACATCCTTGTCTTGTTCCTGAGTTTAGAGGAAATGGCTTTAGTTTTTCACCATTAACTATAATGCTGACTGTAGATTTGTAATATACAGCCTTTATTATATTGAGGAATGTTCCATGGATTCCTAATTTTTCCAGAGCCTTCATCATAAAAGAATGTTGGATCTTGTCAAATACTTTTTCTGCATCTATCGAAATAATCATGTGGTTCTTCTCCTTGTTCTTGTTGATGTGATGAATTATATTAATTGATTTGTGTATATTGAACCAGCTTTGCATCCCTGAAATGAATCCTGTTTGATTGTGGTGTATGATTTTTTGCATGAATTGTTGAAGTCGATTGGCCAAAATTTTGTTGAGAAGTTATGCTTCAATGTTCATCAAAGAAATGGGTGTATAGTTTTCTTTCTTTGATGAGTCCCTGGCTGGTTTTGGGGTAAGGGTTATGATGGCTTCATAGAAAGAGTTCAGTAGTGAACTTTCAATTTCATTGAAGAGTTGGATGAGTATTGATGTGAGTTCTGCTTTGAAAGACTTGTAGAATTCCACTGTAAATCCATCTGGTCCTGGGTTTTTCTTAGATGGGAGGACTCTTCTTGTTGTTTCTATTTCAGTGCTTGATATGGGGCTGTGAAGTTGGTTTAACTCATCTTGGTTTACTTTTGGCATGTCGATATTTGCTAGAAAATGGTCCATTTGTTCAGGGTGCTCAAATTTATTAACATAAAGGTTTGAGAAATATTCCTTTATACTGTTCTGAATCTTGTTTCTGTGATGATGTTTCCATTCTCATCTCTGAGATTGTTTATTTGGGTGTGTTCTCTTTTTTTCTGATAAGATTTGCTAAGGGAATTTTGTTAATTTTTTCAAGGAACCAACTCCGTTTTATTGATTCTATTTTTTAATTCTAATTCATTTAATTCTGATTTAATTTTAATTATTTCCATCTACTGTATTGCAGTTTATCTTGCTGGTCTTTTTCAAGAAGGTTCAGATGTCTCATTAAATTGTGGTTTCAGATCTCTCCACAATGTTGATGGAGGATCTCAGAGCTATAAACTTGCCTGAATATTGCCTTTGCTGTGTCCCAGAGGAGCTGATACTTTGTGTGTTCATTTTTTTTCTTTTTTTTTTAATTTAATTTTATTTTATTTGTGAACATACTGTACAGAGGGGTACAATTACATGGGCAGGATA